TTCCCTACTCACCTATGAGACGGGTCTCTCTGGCTGTGCAGATATCTGGCAAAAAGGTGAACCAACGCATCTGGAAAAGGGTCCTAGGCTGACTGAAAAGGAGGCAGGTCTTCAACCCATAGGAGGGAGCTCAAGGACCTGGCAGGGCACCATTTATCCCTCTATCCTCTGACCCTGGGCTCTGTCCCCTGTGCCTTGTTAGGGCACCTGCTAATTGTCCACCCACATTTCCACTATGTCCCAGCTGGGCCTCCCTCTTTGGGGAAGAAGATGACAATAACTCGTTCTGGGCTTTTCCCTCCACCCCTGCTGAGCCGAGGGTGGTGGGGTTCTTTGGGGAGCCTCCTGCAGAGTGTGGGCCCAGTGGAATGCCTCTGGCTCTGTCAGACCTGCCCATGCACTCCTGTAAACCCCCAGTTCCCCACTGTTAGCAATGAGGTCCTCTTACCATTTAATTTTTTAAATTTAAATATTTGATTAGTTTATTAAAGATTTAAACAAGTTTTAAAAAAATATTTTATTTAACTTTATTTATCTATTTGAATTTGACCAGAGAGAGACAAAATGGGAGAGAGAAAGTGAGAAAGCAAGCCACCATGTCCGGGACTTGAACCACAGTTGGGCATATGGGAATCTAGCACCCACAACCACCACGCCATCAGTTGGTCCCTGATAATTTAAAAATCAACGAAATACAAAATGAAAGGGAATGCTGGTAATGAGGGAGGAAAATAAACTAGAAGGCAGATAGAAATCAAGTAGCAAAATGGCAGAAATAATCCTTTATTATTACTTTTTAGATTTTTTTTTTTACTATAGGGTGCATGTGTACACCAGAGAGACAGAAACCAAGAAATCATCTCCCAGAGGGATGCCATGACAATTCCTTCTCCTCCAATCTCCTCTTTGGATTTTGGGCACACATGCACATGCACCCAGGATGAGTTTCAAGCTACCAAGTCGTCCAGGATTGAAATCATGGCCGGCCATGTGGGAGTCCCATGACGTAACCATTACACCATCTGCTGGTCGCAATCCTTCCTTATTTGGAATTATTTATCGAGGGACTGACAGACGGCATAGTGGTTAAATGTATTGGACTCACATGTGGCCAACTGTAGTTCAAGTTCTGGACTTGGTGACTTGCTTTCTCACTCTCCCCACCCTTCTCTCTCTCTGTCCCTCTCTGGTCAAATTGAAATAAAATAAATAAAGTTAAATAAAATAATTATTTAAAAAATTATGTTACTAAAAATATTTTCTAGAGAGTACATGTACTTGCTAGAGAGAGATAGAGAGACAAATTGAGAAAGCACCCCCCAGCTGGGATGGGCACTCTGCAATCCCTTCTTCATTCTCCTCTAGAGAATTTGGGCATGCAAGCCACATGCCCAGTGTGTTTTCTGCCAAGCCGGGGGTGGGAACTCCAACCATGCAGTTGGCCACGTGGGATCTAGATGCCTTAACCTCCAGGCCATCTGCTGGCCCTGCTCCTCTCCCCCTTATTCTATATTTTTGCTTTTTAAATGATTTTTAGTT